CCACATTTCCTGAGACTCGATTCGAATTGCTAGTTGCTTGTTTACTGTCAAATTTTCTATTCGATACAGCAGGTTTAAGTATACACAACATTTGTCGATTCTCATTTTAATATGCTGTTTATCTCTGTAGCTGACATTAGTTTTCGCTTCATATTAATTAAAGATAGTTTTAGCCATTCCTATTCTCTTTTTGATTTATGTTTTACTGCTGCCAGTATCGTGTCTGTTATTACGTGTCCAAGATAAAGTAAACTTATTACGTGTTCTAATATCTCTCCGTTTACTGTCATGTTGACTGTTGGTGGCTCTTTTTTAATTGTTCATTACCATAGTTTTTGTTTTTCGAATATTAATGTGTATCTCTAAATCTAAACCATACTCTGCACACTCCGCTTGTTGACTCGATCCACTAGCTAGGTCCTGTAACTCCTGCTCGTTTTCTGCCAGTTACACCGCTGTGTCATCGGCCACGTCCGACTTTAGATATTTAGCTGGAGCCTGTCGTGCGTCAGCATATCTCAGATTGCTCATTATTCTTCCATTAATGTTCGGTCCAGACAATTCTTTAGCTTGTTTAACAAAGTTTTGTGTATATAGGTTGAAAAGGCTTGTGGATAACACTCATCCCTGACTTACTCATTTTTTTTTTTAAATCTCTGTCTGTAGTGAGGTGATGTTGTTGTGTCTAATTGTTGCTATTCATTCCTTCTATATAGGTGAACGCAAATAAAGCAAGGCCCCAGAGGCACGCTGAAGCGTTCAAATTTTTTTTTTTTTTTAAATCTTCAAGTCAAGTCAAGTCCCTTTATAGGCTACTAATAATTCTGATATCTTGTCCATCTAATCTTATATTTTGGAGGCTTGCAAAAAGCTTTTCATGTTGCACCCTGTCAAAGGCCTTTTAAAAATCTGTAAAACAAATAATTTTTCTAAACTTCTATATATTTTCTAGTCAGCATCCGTAGACAGATTATGGCTTCCCTAGTGCCATTATTTTTCCGATACACAAACTGTTCTTCGGAAACTTCGTGGTTTATTTTATTTTCAACCGTGTCTTGCATGATCCTAATATAAGCCGCTGTGATGTAGCGGCTAGAAGCTCGCCTGTGGATCCAAAGATCAGATCCTGACGAAGCCGAACTTTTTTTTTAAATCCACCTCGTCTCCCAGCTCGACCCAACTTCAAATGGGTACCAGGTAAAGTCCTGGGAAGTACATTACCCATCGAGTGTCTACAAAATATAGGTGCAGCCCTATATGCCCAGTGCGAGCCTAAAGGTGTGGAAAATGGTCGTTCGTTTTATACTTTACTTGATCTTCTTCTTATCTGCGTTCGAGTTCGTATACTCAGATCCGACCATCAGGTGGGTTGCCTCTATGAGCTGGCATGTCAGTAGCAGGTCCTTCATGGTTCCCCATAGCTGGCTCCTCACACTTTGCTGTTGCGGCCAGGTGTTGTAGGTAGAGTGGACAGGTCTGCAGAATGTGCTCAGGTGTTTGTGGTCCTGTTTGACAAACACACTGTGGGGACTACAACCCTTATTTTATGCATGTGGTAGTTGGGCCTGCAGTGTCCTGTTCGTAGACATAAAATTGTTGTTTGTTGAGTCTGCTGATTGGGTGTTTACTGTTAGTTTGTTCTCTCCACAATTCCTTGTGTTTTCCCTTGATAAGTGTTCTGAGTTCTGGTAATGACAATGAATGTGTGTGGCTTTTCTCCTTTCCTCCATTTTATGCAAGGCTGCTAACTCATTTCCTGGGATTCCGCAGTAAGCCGGGATCCGCTGAAGAACGATTTGATTGTTTTCTGCGAGTCTTGTTTAGCTGGCGGGTCATTTCTCTCTCCGTGCTGTCTCATGGATCCCTCTGAGTTGCCTGAAGGACCTACATGCAGTCACATTTGGCGGTTTGTAATTTTTCTCTCCTGAAACCCTTTGGCTGAATCAATAATTGCTTGCTGCTCTGAAGTTTGTTGAGAGTCTACCGGAGGCGCGTGACGTTTCTACTGTGGTCCAATCTTGCAGCATGATGACCGATCTGGCTCCTCCGTGTTTTTTTATCTTGCTCCCTTCAGTGATCAATCGGTGTATACGTATGTCCATTCAAGTTTTGGATAAGAGTTGTAAAATGTTCAAGGGTTTTTGTACTTAGATCACATTCTTCATCCTTTCTGACTATGTCTGGAATTGTTGTGGTGACTGTATGGTTAATCTGTAGGTCTATGCTGTATGCCTGAATCATTTCCCACTTTGAAGGATCTTTGGAAAGGATGGCATTGTTTTTTGCGTAGTACAGTTTTGATAGACGTTGAAAGTTTTGCCTTTTCAGTTTTTAGTTGTTTGCTTCTCTGTGCGTGACGTTGTTGTTCGTGCGTTAAAATTTGTCTTCCCTTCCATGGCTCAAGCTCTGGAGGCCAGATGTTGCCTCCAGCTCATTGGTGTGCTTCTCATATCTCCAGTGATGTTTCTGAAAACAGTGTTCTCTTTTTTGTCCAGTTTCAGTAGGTTTAATTTATCTTAGGAAGTATCTTAATTATATGGTTTATTAAACTAATCGACCTGTAGTAATTATCTATAATCAACGGTTGTTGAGTTGGCGGGCAGTGTGATGGGAATACATGTTTTCAAGTCCTCTGGAACGTAAACAGTGTTTTATGTATAGAATTCCGAAGCTGCATAACGGTTTTATCATTTCGGTGGTCATTTTACAGAGACTGCGGCTTTTCCATGCTTCGCATTTTTCAACTACCTTCACCAGTTCAGCTGTTGTTCCATCCTGAAGATTGTTTAGTTTTGGTTTGATGCCTCTGTTGTTCCGATATAGCCACTCTGTGTATTCGGTCCATCTTTCAGTTATGTCATTCTTGTAACTATAATTTCTTCATCTCTCCCTCTGACGCAGCATACACACACACACACACATACACACAAACACACACACACACACACATAGATAGATAGACAGACAGACAGACAGACAGACAGACAGACAGACAGACAGACAGACAGACAGACAGACAGACAGACAGACAGACAGACAGACAGACAGACAGACAGACAGACAGACAGACAGACAGACAGACAGACAGACAGACAGACAGACACAGACAGACAGACAGACAGACAGACAGACAGACAGACAGACAGACAGACAGACAGACAGACAGACAGACAGACAGACAGACAGACAGACAGACAGACAGACAGACAGACAGACAGACAGACAGACAGACAGACAGACAGACAGACAGACAGACAGACAGACAGACAGACAGACAGACAGACAGACAGACAGACAGACAGACAGACAGACAGACAGACAGACAGACAGACAGACAGACAGACAGACAGACAGACAGACAGACAGACAGACAGACAGACAGACAGACAGACAGACAGACAGACAGACAGACAGACAGACAGACAGACAGACAGACAGAGAGAGAGAGAGAGAGAGAGAGAGAGAGAGAGAGATAGATAGATAGATAGATAGATAGATAGATAGATAGATAGATAGATAGATAGATAGATAGATAGATAGATAGATAGATAGATAGATAGATAGATAGATAGATAGATAGATAGATAGATAGATAGATAGATAGATAGATAGATAGATAGATAGATAGATAGGCATAGATCACCCCGGTCTCCTTCTCTTCCCAAACTATACCTGTACCCATTTTAGGCTGGGTTGACCCATGGCCGACTGCAGACAATGGCCCTGAGTTGACCTGACAGCCGAGTTAATTTTTTTAATGAATCTGCTTCGATGTGGATTTGAACCCAGAAGCTTTGGGTCCGCAGGCGAGTGTCTAACCAATACAACAAAAAATATATTAATAGTTTAAATAACGCGGACACAAACAATACATCGCACCATTTATTGCCGGTATATCTCGTCAGGTGCAATACTACAGATTTAAACATCATACAATAAAGCACAACAATAAATTCCTTTTCCTGAAATATATGAACTGTATTGTCAAATTAGACCACATCTTTTCACCGGAAATGCCAGATAAGAGCATAACCGTGTTTTGAGACATTCCTTCGGAAACCGTTATTAATCATAGAAATGTACTTCGTGGCAAATTAAATATAATGAAACATTTGAAATAATATTTTCTGCCCCTTAATGTAACCAACTGAAAAGAGAAGACCAGCGGGAGGGATCAGTAGAGGCCGGTGATATCTGCAGCAATGAACATCAAGAGCTCGGAATGCTGAAGAAGAAGATTTGAAGTCATATAAAAGTAAGTGAAGATCCATTTTCACGCCTTTAGGCGCATCGGGCATAGGGGAAGAGCATCCATATTTTTACAGACCAGTTTGCACTAGGTGGGTAATGTGGTCAGCATTACGCCGGCCATCTTCTTTCCCAGGACATACCGGTACCCATTTTAGGCTGGGTCGACCTGCGACGCCCCATACCACGATAAAAATCCACACAGCCAGCAGTGGGTTTCGATCGCGGTACGTTGGAATTACGAGTCGGACTCGCAACGCTTAAGCCACGGACGCTGTTTTTGAAGTAAAATGAAATGTATAAAAAAAATCTATATGTGGCTCGCGATAACCATTGAGTTCCCCTTGCAACTCTTGTGGGAATTAGATGAGCACCCCCACCCCTCACCCAACCCCAGTTACTGTGAGACTCCAGTTGCCTGAGCTCCCAGGTTCCGGTGCCGCTGTAGGAAACAGACGTTTCCAGAGGTCGCTATAGATACAACAAAGGTTAAAGGTAAGAATGCACGCGGCAATTACCGCGCGAGCGATACAACACACCGTGTTTCCCGGACCGGCCTTGAGTTGAATCCGTCAAACTGCTCCAGTCTTCCGTCGAACACGATTTCACTTTCTCCCAGGTAGAAATGTGAAGCTCCGTCTGACCCCGATGGGTTTTCTCGATCTACAGTGAGATGTTTCTGCTTTTGTCGTGGGCGTGGGAGTTCGAGTACCTGCAGAAGACTGGCGAGCTACTTGGACTACTGTCCTCTGATGATAGAGTTGACATTTGTGATTAAGAACCTCCTACGTCATTTCGAGCACGTAAGTGTCGCGTGTGTGTGTGTGTGCAGTTGCTGACTAAATCGTTTGATTCATTGGTTCGGTGCATTTGCTTGTTTATTAATATTTTCTTGAACACTGTAGATTCATTTTCCGACTGCTCTGTTTGGTTCTCGAGTGCAGTTTGAACAGAGGTTTTTGGGGGTTGTCGCTGGCGTAGGGGGTTTGTGCTTTGTGTGAAGCTCTTACCGCGTGAATTAACGATTTGAGGAGAGAGATCGAACTACATGGGATAAAATCCGGTTCGTTAAATCAGGATTCTTGCCTTTAAACATTTCATTATTCAGTGTGTGTATGTGTTGCCCGGCTCGCTAGAGTAGTTGTGTTAAATCTGACTTCGCGGCGACCGCGTGACGAACTCCTTGTGGTCTGGGTTCACGCCCCGGGGTTGGCAGAAAAGCCACATTTCCCCCAGATTTACGGTATCTATAATTGAATCAAGGCCGAAGGCTTGCGATATTCATAGTGCTGAGCCAAAGGGTTAACAGCTCATGGTTTCTAAATATTTTTTAAAGAGAGGCTAAATGTGCTGGACTGGATTCCCTCCCTTATATCGAAATGAATGCATTGTATAGAACGGAACAGGGGAATAGACTGTGAGACATATAGTGGCACAGCCTGACGAGAGAGGGTTCATTATGCATGGGCAACATGATTTCTACAATACTGCCCAGGCTTTGTGCTCTGGAAAGATTAACTTCATCCCTGGCCCAAATCGGTCTCGGAAACAATAGTGGAAGACTTTTCTTGACACGGGCGGGTCTTGCTAGTCATACTCGCTATCGCCATGGACTGTGAGTCTCATACCTCCCCATAGCGCAATATACTATCGTCTGGAAATATGGAAAGGTGCCAATGAACATGAATGAATGAATTAGCCTGATGGTGCTAGTGCTCTCGGTAATTCTGTCTAGAGAGAATACTCATCTTGTCCTTGTCAGCATGCTCGCATGAATCGTCAAGATTTCGTAATCATTACAGAAGATGCCAACAAGCCTGCTTACTTATGCACCAGCTGACATCCAAACATAGGTATGAGCGCCAAGAAATATATTACAAACAGTATATTAATACCAATACTGTGCTATCAGTGCCAGACTTGGACATTACCAAAGGCTAGCATACGTTATATTAACACCCGTGAAATGAGGTGCCCAAGAAAAGCGGCCAGTTTAATCATCCAAGACAGAGTTAGAAACAGTTTGTGGAAACAACATGCAGCAAATTCATTGAGAAACAGAAGCTCAAACGGTTTGCACGTCTAGTAAGAATGCAACCAGAGCAACAACTACCAACGCAGACTCTACACATGAAAGGATCTGAAGTGAAAGCAAGAAGTCGACCTAGGACATGGCTACCTGATGCCGGCGGGCCGATTGCGGCCAGCAGAAACCTGGCAAGTGGCCCGCAAATCACTGCCAGTTGTATTGTGTTAATAATCTTCCTGCACCGGCGCCTCTGGCCCGTGGAGATCCCCGTTTTCAACGCGTTGGACCCTAAGTAAACTTTGTTGAATATGCCTGCCCTATGTGGATCTCGATTGATGACGTTAAAGAGCTTTTCATCAACACCGAACGACAATGGTCAAAGCTGCCTAACAAGCAGTGAATCGCAAACTGTTCCTTCCCACGGCGCTTGATGGCAGAAGTTGAAATTGATAATGATGATTTCAGAAGAAAAAACACCCCTCTATTTCCTGTACAGTGGTGAAGTAGATAGTAGTTAGGCTGTAACCTTCCAGTCATGTCCTATGAGGCGATTAAGGAGAACTGATCTTGACAGTGTTATCTTGTGAAAGCAGGTCAGCACAAAAACTAATCTACTGAAAATAGAAGCAAATATTTGGCCAAGAAAGAGCTGGCAAGTAATGTATTAATGCCAACGGGAAGAAGCATCGACAGAGCTGATATCATCAACGCTGTACGGACTTGGTTGGAGGATAATGGCGAATCTCTGAGGCTAGCACGATTGCGTGACCGCTTGGTGAAGCACGAGTATGCCATTTTCGAGATAGAGACAGGAGATACTATAAACAACTCCACATGGGAAAAATTACTAGAAGTACCTTGGAGTGGCTGCTGCATCGGAGGACTGAGCATGCATGGGAATGCCCAATGTGCATAGACGTCCACTGTAATAACATAACATAAAATAGAAACAAATATTTAGACCATATTAAAATTCATTACACTCCTAGAGAAACCATACTGGGTTGGGGGGGGGGGGGTTAAAGGCAAGCGAGCAAGAGAGAGATACGGTACTAGTGGGAGGATACCGTCAAGAGGTGGACATAAAGCAGTCTGAGAAAGTAAACACCCAGGGCGAAAGACAGAACGTGCTGCAGACAGCAGCGCCAAAGTAACAACAACAAACAAATTTTAAAATATACAGTAAAACCTTGTTACTATGAATTCCAAGGAGACTGAAAAACCAGAGTTCGTGTTAGAAAATTCGTGCTAATTGGGTTTAAATAGATGTGTTATGAATAGTACATCACTGCTTGGACCAACACTTATTTTTTGTTAACTGGATGCTCGTTGTAAGCGATGTCATCAAGATTTTAGTGTATTTATATTTCATTCAGCACGCAAAATAAAACTATAGTTAAACCTCATTAATACGAACCTTATTAATAACGGGAGCCAAATTTTAGTCCCAGCAGAGATGCATGATTATTTTTAATCCCCGGTTAGCACGAGTTTTTTCTAAGGCGAACTTGATTGTCGATGCCTGGAAATTCGCGTTAGTGAGGTTAATTAATTTTTATAAAGATGCTGGCACTGACTCTGTCTTTGCATACGATAAGTGTTATATTGTGCTATGAGGAGGGGTTGAACTTAAAACCCATGGTGATAGCGAGTGTGACTAGCAAAACCTGCCAGCGTTATGACAGTTTTATTATTGCGCACTTAACAAGGATTACGCCGCTCGAAAGGCCCCACGGAAAATGTAAGGAGGCTACAGCTCCCATCGACCACCCTTCCCCAATTCCACATTTCATCCACAAACATAATCTCTGACGTAAAAATTAGTCCTACGAAAACATTGGACAAAGTACAGGTACGCGTGGAAATGACCCGAATGCAGCAATGATCACTGGTTAATTCATTCAATCATTCAAGGTTTCATACATTGGTTCAATCATTCCATGGAAACGATTTCCGTTTTATCAAAAGTTGCTTCAATTACAGAAATGAATAAACGTAATGAAACAGAAAACTTGCCTATGTAACAAGCTGTTCGGGCGATTACTCATTATTTATTCAAACATTTTTACCGAAACGGTTTAATCAGCACATCCGGTGGGTAGAGGTAGATATTAGACAGCTTGTGGCGAAGGGAGTTATCCTGTCCAGAGAGAATGAACAGCTGTGTAAACGTGCAACAGTGAGCCTGCGTGTACTCGCGTTTGCGTTATTGATTAAACCAGGGGTTCTCAGTTAGCTAGAACCTGTGGACACACCCTATTTTCTTCATCAGTGGTTCCCAGTTTGTTAAGACCTGTGGAATTGCTTATTTTCGGAGGTCGTCCACGGACCCCATACCTATTAATAGTGATACTGAAGAACTTATTACAAGAGTCGCAATCCCAATGTGGGTTCCATGACCCCTTTTTAGAGGGGTGTGGGGTGGGAAGACCCACACGCCCCTAACCAGCATATGCTTTTTAGTGATGATGATAACTTCCACTGAGCACTTTGGCGTTTAGTTGTAGGATCATAACAGAAAATCAATGTTGCATCCTCTGCAACAATCAAATTTAAGAAATGTTTTATTTCTTTGACACCTTTTGATGATGTTTTTGCATACTAAACACGCTGATGTTTTTGGTCATCAGACATCGAATGTGGTACAAATCGGCAAGCAACTTTTTTTGGGAGCCCAGAACTTCCTTTAAAACTTTACGAATGGGATCTCTGTTAACACATTATTCATCTGCCATCTTCCTCACAGACAAACAACGATCTTCTGGTATCCGTTCTCTGACTTTTGCAACGAGTTCTTTATTACGAACAGAAATTGGGCGTTCAGTTCTAGTTGCATTAGTAATTATTTCCACACCACTTTTTAATCGTAAACACCATTTGAAAATCATGTGCACGAGATAAATAATTATCCTTATAAACTTTTCGCATCAGTTCGACTGTCTTAATAGCACTTAATCTGAGTTTTAAACAAAATTTAATATTAGGTCTTTGCTCAATGCTGATTACGTAACAATGTACCTCATACTAGGTCAACAAAATGGCGGCTTGTTTCTTGTCTGCTAATCAGCCGGCGACGAAAAGTTGCTAGATTATGAATGGATGTTGCCACTTTGGATTTCATGGTTTGCTTTTTAGATGGCACTCTTGTTTTGGCCATTAAAAAAAAATTAGTCTCATTTCTTAATGAGTATAATACATAATATTCGGACCTTGTGTAATCACGCGCGTTCGAGTGTATGTGTGTGTAATAAAAATTTAAAAAAATATTCTATGCAGTGTTTCTTGATCATTTGAGGTAAAACAGAGAATTCGCAAGAGCTATATAAATCCTATCTCACATGCGGAAGTGAGCCATGAACAGTTGACCGCTTAGGGCAAAACTATATGGCAACGGCGGATATATGGTTTAATAAAAGAATGTTAATACCATAGAAATATAACAAAGGTAAAGAAGATGTCTTGAAATTTACTAAGGAAGAGAGCAAATTTTTTTCGCACCAGAAGGAGACAATCTACATTCTGTGATCATATTTTGAGAAGGAGAAAACTGATTATATCGTGATGGTGGAAACGTTGGGGAAAGAGACAGCGGGAGACGGAGAGAGAAGATCCTGCACAGTTTGGCATCATCCCACGAAGATCATCTATGTCAGAACTGGTTGAAAATACACTAGCTAGGCAGAAGATTGCGGACAGACATGGCTACCATTTGCTTCACGGCATGGGCTTTAAGAAGCAGATAGTTATAATGTGAAGTCGACTAGTTATATACCT